TTGAAAAGACTTGTGAACCCTGTAACTGATCAAATAAATCGTCAATTCGGGGTAATGGATATTTATTTTTGACCGTTACCTTGTTTAATTCTCAGTGGTCAATGCACAAACGTAAGGTTCTGTCTTTTTTCTTTACAAACAACACGGGAGCGCCCCATGGCGAAATGCTTGGTCATATAAACCCTTTGTCTAGTAAGTCTTACAACTGTTCTTTTAGTTCTTTCATCTCAGTAGTGTACATTCTATATGGAGTTTTTGAGATGGGCTGGGTGCCCGGGATAACATTAATGGTAAATTCTATCTCTCTGTCCACCAATCCCCTTGTCGGGAAATACATCCGGAAATTCTTGGACCACATAAATATTATCTAATTTAACATTCACAGATTGTTCAAATAATACACTACATAAGTAACCCTGGCATCCTTTCCTGATTAATTTACATGCTTTTATTGCAGATATCAAATAAGGTGGAGGCACTACCCCATTACCCACAAATTCAAATTCAACATGCCTTGGTGGTTTAGACACAACCCGTTTTGTCACACAATTGATAGTGGCACAATATTTCAATAGCCAATCCATACCCAAAATTATATCAAAGTATCGAATGTCCAAGGGTAACAAATCTACATATAAGATAGTATTGCCAATTCGCATGTCACAAACACGATACACAGATGTACATAATACAGATTCCCCAGATAGAGCAGATACAAATAGTAAATATGGCAATGATTCTAGGGATCTAGTCAATCTAGATACAAATATAGTAGACACAAAGGAATGTGTTGAGCCGGAATCAATTAACATAAAAGCATCTTGATTATATATAGAGATAGTACTTGAGACAACAGCTTCAATAGTTCGTGTGTCACATGGGACAAGTGCAATGTCACAACCCAAACTTGCCCCTAAAAGTTTGGGCATGACTAGCCTGAAAATTAAGCCTCGGAGTTAAAGATTCATCACTATACTACATATAGGGCTTGAACAGAAGCAAATATAATATCAAAATAAAACAACCATTGAGCTGTGTCTACATGCCAGGATCATGACACATTACATACCATTTCTATACGTTGAGTCCATACATGTACATTTATATACAAAGGGTAGCAACCTATAGGCTAAGTTTTTAAAACAACTAAGACAAGTCACCCAAGACGAGCAAAACATGCCATTACACATACGAGACTTCCCAAAATGAATCAAAAGGTCCCAAGTACAAAATAAAAGCCCATTTAGGTACACTACAAAATAGGTCCAGCAAAAAGGGCTCCTGAAGCCGACCTAGGGTTATCCTCCACGTTGATTACCTACATATACATACAAAAACACGAAGTGAGCAAGGCTCAGTGAATAATAGTAATGTAGAGAAGGTAAGTGAATAAGCATGAGAGTTAGAGACTGTGAACTTGGTATAGGTCTCATTTATAAGCATACTTCAGAATGGCCTCGGGCCTATAATTTAATACAGAACGGCCTCAGACCCACATAAGATACAAAACGGCCTTAGGCCCAACACAGTATGGAATAGCTTTAAGCCCAACCAATCAACAGCTGTCTAGAATAATGTAGGGTAGATGGAACATCGGCATGTCCCCATCTCCCTTGGCCTTAGCGCCATTGGTCACATGTGATCCATATCGTTACAAAGTAGATGAAACATCGACATGTCTCTATCTATCCCGGCCTTAGAGCCATATGTCATAAATCATAAACAATTCATATCGTAACGGCCTTGGGCCCACCTTTATTCTAAGGTTCTCAACGACCTTGAGTCCATGGTAGTGACATTGTGCCATGTTCTCAGTTAGTTCCATTCACATGACCGTATTCATCACATATGCTATTCATAAACAAAAGCATGATCATAGCGATAATTAAAACATAACTTTACACTATAATTACTCACTGTGGGGTTGTTGCACAACGGCCTCTTCCGGTATGGAACCTACACATAGCACACACTTGTAAGTACTTTTTTCTTCTTTAGTCTTTTCTTCTTTATTTATTGTTCGACTCGTTAAGTTCCGTTTAATTATCAATTTTACAAAAGAATCAAATGGACATTTTAACGCGTTCGGAGGGTCGAGAGGAGTGAAAGAAGTCAACAGAATTTTTCCCCTCTAGCCGCACGTACGGGAAGGTGTGCTGCATGTGCGGCCCGCATGTGTTTTTATTTCAGAATGCAATCTTCAGGCTCCCCTGTTTTCCGCACGTGCGGCCATGGGCCCCGTAGGCTCTGTTTTGAGCAGTCTGAAATTCAACAAAATCTCAACTTTCCAAGGGCACCTCAAGATGCAATTATAAGCAAAATTCCTTCATTGTTCCAACATGTAAACATACTAATCATGAATTTCATAAGTAATTAAGTCATAACTCATGTAAAAAGGAATTTAGACAACTTGATGCTCATTTATCTCTTCATGGTGAACCAAAAGAGCTACAAACACATAGAAGAATAGATACAATAGACAAAATTTGAAGATTAGAAGATGAGTCTTCTTAAGCTAACTCAAAGCAACCTTTGCTTTAAAATTTAACCCTCCAGTTAAGGAAACATAATGAAACTTGATAATTCCCATGGGTATTTTCTCATTTAAATTCTCTAATCCAAAACCCTAATTTATATGGGTGAAAAGGTTCACTTAAATACTTGTTAATAATCAATTCAAGGTAGTTTAGGGATAATTGAGTTGCTTTATACTTACTTTGAGCTCTAATCCTTGAACCCTCTCTCGAATCTTCCAAGTTTCTAGTTGATTTTCCCCTTTCTCTCTCTTTCTCTTCTCTTCTCTTCTCTTTTCTCTTCCATTTTCTCCAAGAGATATTTGTCTTGACTCTAAGTCCTCTAAGTCCTTATAACTATCAACTTCTTAAGTTATGAGTTTAAATAACCTTAGTTAAGAATTGGGCCCAATTAAACCAATTTAATTCGTTACGAATCAAATTTTTACAAAAATTCACATTATGGCCTAAAAATCATGCTAATTAAAACTGTGAAGTCAATTTCGGGTTATCACACCTCTAAGACTTTCAATTTCCAATCAAAAAGTCTCAATTTCAACAGATTTTCCATAACCGACAGATATAATGTCATGCACACATATAATTCACACAGTTAAACACAAATTCACATAGACTTTCAGGACAACATATAATTACGTATTAATTAAAGATTTAAAGCATATAAGAGGGTCGGGTTTTTACATACAAAGACTCTCCCTTGTCTCATTGTGTCTCTGGTAGTAGCAGGCCTCGTAGTATTACCCAGTTTTTGGATAGATCCGGTTGGACTAACGGCTGGTTTCCTACCTTTTTGCTATTCAGTTTGGGTACAATCCCTTTCCATATGCCCCATTTCACCACACCAATAGCATGCCTCGAAAACACGGTAACAAACCCCGCAATACTTCTTACCACATTGAGTACATGTTGGTGCCGTATTTCTGGTGGAGCCTGAAGTACTTGAGGACCCCGTGTTTTATTTCTTTGATGATTTCTTTCTTGAGAAAAAGCCTTGGCTCTTAGCCTTCCAATCGACTGGTGGTTTACCTCGGTTGGTCATGTTGGCTTCTGACATTAAAGCTCGATCTAACACATCAACATAAGTGGGCAATTTCAACACATTCACCCTTTCCAGAATGTCATTGCGAAGATCATTTTCAAACTTCCTCGCCTTTTTATAGTCGGTGTCAACCAAATATGGGGTGAATCTAGCCAATTCGGTGAACTTGGCTTCATACTCGGCTACAGTCAGATTGCCTTGTTTCAGTCCTTCAAATTCCGACACCTTTCTATCGCGGACACACTGTGGACAGTATTTCTCATAAAAGAGTGCAAGAAACTGTGCCCAGTCAATGCCCTTGTTATCATCACAGATTAGCATCCACCATCTTCTTGCTTCATTTTCCAATGCAAAAGTGGCCAATTGTACTTTTTGTGTCTCCAGGCATAGGAATACCTCAAATAACTTTTCAATACCAAGGACCCAAGCTTCAGCCTTCAGTGGGTCCACACCCTTGTGGAACAGCAGTGGCTTTATTTTCTTGAATTCTTTAGTAAGGGCTATTGTTCGGTCATCATTTTGCAAATCTGGCATAGGTTGCACCGGAGGTGGGGGTTGCAGGTGTTGCCATTGTTGTTGTTACCTTAATGTTTTTGCCATATCTTGCATCATTCTCTCCATTCGGTCTAGCCGAGTAGTGGAGGACTCTTCAAGCTCATCAACTCCTGTCCTCACCATTATCTAATAAGACTTGCATTATAATTCATACAAAAGATATGCACAATATTCATGTACAAAAAGTACGTTCATACAGCTAGGCAACAGTTATATATCATATAATTGCATACTTCAATCCACTTAGCAAGTTCTCAAAGCATTTCACACATATATTTAATATATGAATGCAACTTATGTCTTTTCTAGACACTCTATCACTCATTTGGACAAGTATGTGAGTTATTACTCGTGCTCTGATACCACTCTGTCATGACCCAAACCCGCCCTTATGGATTAGAGTCATAACCGGCTAGTAATCATGAGAATACCTACGACCTTAGTCAGAAATCAAATCATATTTAATAATAGGGGGCCAAGCTGCGGAAGCAAAACTTACAAAAATTGTCCAATGAGCTGTGCATACATGATTTAACCAAAAACTTTCTCATATATGTAATAACTCACAGTACACAAATATCCATATTATGTATTACATAAGTCCAGGATCATTTAGTAGTCAGTAATTAACAAAATTTAAAACCTAGGTTATATAAGTTTGATCGTATGTGACCACAAAAGAACAAGAGATAGGTAAAACAAAACTAAGACCTCTTACATGAGTCGACCTTGGTTGACCTCTCAAAACTTAGTTTCTCATTGCTCACTAGGGCTGGGGCTAGACGTCCTGCTACTCACCTACATACATATAATAAAGAGTGAGCTAACGCCTAGTAAATAATATTAAAGTAAAGGAGTTTATGAATGCGATTCATTTAATCATAAGTTACAAACCAAACTTGTTAGTCGATACCAATGCAAAACGACCTTGGGTCTAACATATCATATATCATATCCATATTCATATACTAAATAACCTCAGGTCCAACTCTTACTTACAAAACGACGTTGGGTCTAATTCATAGGCAAAATGACCCTCAGTTCAATATGTGCAAAATGACCTTAGGTCCACCATATGTAAAGCAGTCTTGGATCCAATTCATACGCAAAACGACCTTGGGTCCAACTAGTCCATTTTCACATTTATGGGCACTCATGATCCATGATCATGTTCACATTCACTTTCGCATTCAAAACGACCTTAGGTCCAATTATTCCCTTATTCGGAACGGCCTCTGGTCCATTCAACGACCTTTGGCTTATTCAATTCAACAGTTATACAAAACGGCCTTAGGCCCATTTTATATCCTTTTCAAGTAAACCGAACGGCCTTGGGCCCATTTCGTACTCATGTATCTTTCATTTCACATATTTCTGTACGAACCAAGTGGATAGAATAGTCATTCACAGTATCCAATCAGAAGATAGAAACTTACCACACAGGTAACATTTGGAGAATAATATATACACAAATTATCTTTACTAAGATATTACTCATTGTGTTCCGATGCTTGATTCGTCCTTGCACTTGACCCTACATAATTCATAACACACTGGGTTATAATAGAATTCAATCCATTCTTTAATTTTCTTAATGTTCTTATGCTTCTTTCATGTTCTTTAATTCATTTAGCATGTTCAATGCATGCGTAAGAGTGCTTAGAAATGAAAGAGAACGGAAAACGAAACATAAAGTATCTTTTTAAAATTTCTGAAACAGGGCTCTTCGCTGGAGCCTAGCTTTGGTCACTCGAGCGGACTGCAAAACTCTATAAAAACACTGGTTACATGAATTTAACGCTCCAGCGAGATTTCTGACGCTCGAGCGGAGTGTCTTATAAAGCAGGGTTCGCTCGAGCGTAGAGTTTGCTGCTTGAGCCACTGTGCAAATCTCTGCAAAACTTCTAGGAGCTTGACTTTCACGCTCGAGCGACACTTTCCTCGCTCGAGCGAACAAGTCAGATTTTGGGTTTTCCAAAACTCTATTTGAAGCTCAAAACTCAATTCCAAAGGCCAATTTCATGCATAACTTACCCAAAACTTCAAAGACATATATTTGAACATTAATACTTGTAGAATTACATTTCTTATACATGAATTTCATGAGTTGGCATATCATCATTTCAAATTCTCATGCAAGCATGAACTCAACTTAACTCCCATCTATCATCATTAAAATATGATTTTGAGTTCTATAGCTTCAAAAATCATGCAACCAAGTTCCATAGTCCTATAATTCATGGATATATGTCTAACTTATCCACTAATTCTACATGTTTAACATGCTACAAGCTCAAATGTACATATTCATGGTAAAAGCTTACATGCATGTCTATACAAACTTCAATTTCATCTTATTCAGCTCAATTCTTGTTCTTAGTCACATATCATGCTAGAATTCATGTAATTATGGACTTAAACTCAAGAATTTGAGTTCATTTACTTACCTAGGAGCTCTAATCTTCCAATTCCTAGCTAGTTCTTGCGTTATCTTTCTCAATCTTCAAGCTCCTTGCCCTACTCTCAAATTTTGCCTTCACTCTCTCTCTCTCTAGAGTGCAACTTCAGCGAAAAGGTGAGAAGATGAGCTCAAAATGTGAATTAGGCCCTTAATTAGTATATATATAGGTTTCACTAATCATATTGGCTAATTAAGGCTTAGCCTAATTAAATGAACATAATTAAATCAATTAATCTAATCATTTTGATCCGAATCAATTTTTCAATTAAATTTCACCGTAGGCTTTAAAAATCATGTTGAATGCAAAAACACAGTCAATTTCAGTTTCTGTTGCCTTTACGACCTTCAATTGAAATTTTTATAACAGAAAGTCAAACAGATTTTCTTACGGTGAACTGATATAAATTTACAAACACATATTATCGTATAATTAGCATTCAAAATCATATCAAGCCCATAATTATAAGCATAATTAAGATTAATTAGCATAATCCAGAGTTGGGTTGTCACACAATGTTTAGTAATTACTCCTGAGCATAGGAAAAAACAAAACAACACACCAACAAAAGGAATAACATGAGGGTTCTCCAACTAAACAAAAATTTCTCACATGTCAACCAAAGAGAAAATAATTCTTAATTGATTTTGAATGTCATGACACAACCAAATGATAGCTAAAAAATCTGTGAAAAGTTGCAACTTAAATTTTTTTTGCAAATGAATCCAAACAATAGCTAAAAAATCTATCAAAAGCTGCAACTTAAATTTTTGCAAATGAATCCAAATGATATGTACCAGACTCAAAATTATGGTTTCAACTTCTAACCTGAAGAATTCCTCTATGTCATTTTCTGGATCAAAATAGCATCATGTGTTCTACATGCCTTGCCTGAACCATAAAATCAATGAAAATACAAAAATATTATGAGTTAGTTATTCATGTCTTCAATTATGTAGTTGGGTTAGTCTACAGATACGGAAAAACTTTACCAAGACATAGTTAAGCTTTCATGGAGTATTTGTAGATCAAAGATATAATACAAAACCATTGATGTCATGAGTATAAAATATAGCCACAAATTTATTTATTTTTTTGTGTAAAAATCGGTTTGGGGATGAGAATGTGGAAGTACTTATCAATTTAGGATTGGAAAAATCAAGGTTAAGCGATGTGCTAATGGTTTAAAAATAAATAAATTTTAGAGATGGTGGGCGTTTACTTTGTAGAAGAAAAAAAAAACATAAGCCATAACTTTCAAGGGTTTTTTTTTTTTATAAATATTTCCCCAATGCAATCAAAGTATAATCTAAAATCTTGTGAAAAACATATTATATTCAAAACTCTCTATAGGAAGGAATGATTATCATTTTTCGCACAAATGACTTTCTCTTTCAGGTTTAGAGAACTAAAAAAGAGAAAGCAAAGCTTGTGCATTTCTTTAACCTTTCTACTGTGAATTATTGTAGTTTATATTATTCATTAAGGATAGTTTAGTCCTTTAGGTTGTTAGGGTTTTATTCTATTAGCTTATATATTTGTAGCCATTTGATTAATCTAAATACAAGTTTTCTTCTCTGTTATCATGGTATCAGAGCAAGGTTCCAAACGCTAGAATACCTTTCGCAGGTCATCATCGACCATCGCAGCCCCTTTCTCTCTCTTCGCAAGTCTTTCACTAGGGTTCTCTGTTCTCTTCGTTGCACTTTGAAGCACTCTACGCCCTTCCTGGTTACTGGTTTTGGTCTCTAGGTTATGTCAGAGACCTAGGTTACGTGTCTCACACAATCGAGTACTACCTCTGGTCCGATTAATTCCTCTGTGCGACTCTGATTGGTGATTTCTCCGTCTCTCTCTCTAGTTCACACGATCCAAATAAGGTCTGACCTTGATGCTCGATCTCGCTCCAGACCCTGAAACTGACTTCGATTTCTAGTTTTAGGTTTAGTTTCTCTCTCTCTCTCTCTCGCTCCTTGGTTCTCTCTCTGATTGATATTTGAGGGTGATTGGGTCACAACTCTGGTTATTATAAATTTGACCTAACTGGTTTTTTAATTATAGCAATAGCAACTCTGGTTATCTAATAGTCACTCTACTTTGATTTTACTATGTTGCTTAATTATAGCACTGTGGCTGATGATAAATTGTAAGCTATCACCACTAAGTTAGATGGTACCAATTACTCTTATTGGTCTCATGTAATGAAAAATTTTATAATGGGTAAAGGCATGTGGAACTATGTTATTGGTATGACTATTAGACGTACGAAATCCCAAGAAACCAAGGCCGATGTTGCTAAATGGGATAAGGAAAACGCGCAAATTCTTACTTGGTTTCATAATTCAGTTCAAACTGCCATTGGTATGAATTTTTCCAAGTATTCTACTTCTAAACTAGTATGGTACTATTTGAAAATTATATACTTTGAGTCTAACTTTGCAAAATAGTATGAACTTGAGATGTCTATTCACAGTGCTAGTCAAAAACATAAGTCCATTTGGGAGTTCTACAATGAGATGG